AAATATAAGACCAAGTTTTATTAATGGGGACGACGTAAAGTTAATAAGCCAATTGAACTAATTTAATCGATTGGGGAAAACTTAATAGATAAGACTGTATTCATCAAATTTTCCTATTTGTGAGATTGTAAGTTCCACTTATTTGCCTTCTAATAGATGCAAGCCAAACCCTAAACCAATTAACCTGTGTTATCATAAGGCAAATAAACCCATTATAACATATAATCAATGAGCCTTACAATGATTGAAACCTTCAATTAATTTTATAGACCATCACAACAAAGTATTTCATAGGTCTTCTTAAGGATACAACAACAACAAAGCCTTAATCACACTACGTGGGGTCGGCTACATGAATCCTTCTCAAGGATGTAAGCCCTAAATTAAACTTAGGTTAGGTCCATTGTTATCAAAGAGCAAAGCACAAGGCTTTATTTTTGCTTCAAAAATCATAGTGCAAAGTGAAGCGGTGCTTTTATTAATTAAAGCACCAGGAAGTTGTATAAAATTTTTAATATATATAAATACATTCATTAATATTTATAAAATATAAATTTTGGCTTAAAATTTGATATAAAAGAGAAAAAAAATATTATACAATACATAACTTGAAGGCAAATATTGAGGATAAACCTACAAATTTAATTTCGAACAATTTCTAATAGTTTGCTGCAAAAAATAAAGACATAAAAATTTAAAAAAAATGTTAATTAACTTTAGTGCTTCGAAGCACACTTCTATAAAGCGAAACAATGATTCACACGCTTCGTTTCGCTTTGCTCGTGAATCTCGCTTCAAAATGTGCTTTTAAAAAATTTGGTTAGTTCCTATAATAATAAGCCCATTAATAAAAGGTAAACTCACCAATTAACTTTATAAGATATTCCATGCTGTCATGCACACTTCTTCAAGTCAAGTTGAAATTCATGAATAATGCCCATTCCATAGCTTTGAACTATTGTCTTTCTCGTCTTGTACTTTCAAACTGTAAGAGGGCATGCTATGCGCCTTCGAACTATTTAGTGAAGTTGATAAAGCCAATCCTCTCTGAGCAAACAATTTGATTCCAATCTCAAAAGCTCGTATTTGAGGCATTTATTTATTTTTGGACTACTTGGATGCCTAAATGAGACAAGCTATAGTTACTAATTAGGCTTCTTGATTGTTATGGATTCGATGTTGGATTATATTTGGATCACTTGTTGAATTTCCCCAACCGTTTCTCATTCATTAACTTCAAACGTCAATGTTAAATACTAAACCTAAACAACTTTTTTAATTTAGTGCTCTCATATGAGCTGGAAATATAATTAATCATGGGGCCTTGCACCTATAGGAAGGATGGATTCTAGATTTAAATAATGTTTGATTATATATTATGGTAAATCTAAGTAAAAAAAGTGTAATCTACCTCCATAATATTGGTTTGTATACATTGAGCAGCTTTGAAGTAGGTGTTGGCTTTTCCCAAGAAATCACATCCTTTCTTTCCCTTTTTTTTTCAATATTTATTTTAATACAAAAATTACTCTCATGGCGGGTCTTGACAATTGCATTTTTTCTTTCTCGATATGCTAAGTTGAAGCAGGCCTTCTATTTTTCTACATCTTTTATAATATTTACTAAGTTAAGTGTTGCTGAGATGAAAATGCTTAGGTGGATAAGTGGCTCGACACTTACAAACAAAATGTGAAATGAATGTATCCGTGAAAAGGTTAGTATAGCTCCAGTGGCTGACATGATTAGAGAGAGTCGTCTTAGATGATTTGGTCACATTAAACATTGGCAATCCGACGATCCAATTAGGAGAGTAGATGTTTTAGATTCGACTTATGTTAAGAAAGGCAATGGTATACCCAAAAAAACATGGGTATATTGTATAAAAAGTGATTTTAATTTATTAGAATTAAATGAGAATATGCACTTAGTAGGACACAATGGAGAAAAATAATTCATGCAGCTGACTTCACATAGTAGGATAAATGCTTATTGTTATTGTTGTTGTTGTTGTTTTATATTATTTACTTCTGAGAATAACCAAAAGACGCCATAAATGGACATTGACTTCAATGAAATTTCTTCTGAATAACTAGAAACATCCTAAAATAGACACGAACTTTGATCAAATTTGTTCTAAAATCACATGTATTCTATTTGTATCAGACAAGAGTATTGTTCATGTTTGACTACCCTGCTGTTTTCTCATTGAACACTACGTGGCTTTCTTATATGAAAGCATTTTCTTTAAAATTTATGTTTATTATGATAGCAAATAGTCTGACGACTTTCTAATTTGTGTTTAGTGGCTTTGCTAGATTAGTTATTTATAGCACTTTTATGGATTTCTTTCTGAAACCCCTGCAATGTAGAGCAATTGGACAGTGACACTGCTTCTATTAAAGATCATATTTCAGTTTACTCAGGCGCTATTAATTGATTTCAAATGCAGGCTGCAGAATTTTATAGATGAGATGAACCGTCCTTCTCTAAATGATTCAAGATTTTGTTTGAATCTTTATTCTCATTATAAAGATTGCCACTTCTCCGCTTTTTCCGAGAAGCCTGAAATAAAATTGATGCTACTTTTTTGCTTTTACTTTCTGATAACCCGAAAACAAAATAGACTATCGTTACTATCCTGTCTATTGTAATTTTTGCTGCCTAATTCTTGAGAAACTTTAAAGCAAATCTGCCACTGATATTATTTTGGTTTGTTAATTTGTATAAGTATCTTTTGGAATTTACCAAATTACATTGCAAGACGGTGAGAATAATACTTTTTAATAAGGTATTAGAGAATAACACTTGGTTGTGTGATAATGCCTTTGATTACTAAAGGTGATGGTTCATGGTTCACATCGTTTGAAAAAAAAAAAAAAGAAGAAGAAAGCCGAAACTAGATTAAGAATTGCAGGCACATAGCCACATATAATAGAGCATAGATGATGCACAAATAATACATTTATTTAAAGCTATTGTGAAGGAATTGGGAGGGATACTTGGTACGTAGGCAATCCTGCAACACTCAAAACGGATGCATAGAGAAAAAGGGGGGGTGGGTTGTGGAGGGGGCTGAGTTCATATTTTAATTTAATGGCATATTAGTGAGGCATTTTACAGGAGAAATGATGAATGTGAGGATTTCAGCTCATTAAGGGCACTTGATCTTACTGATGGTGGAGAGAACTTGAGGGAAATTATGGAGAAGAGAGACCTGTGGTAAGCAGTTGCAGATAATGGAAATTGTTTGGATATGAATGATGATGAAATTGTTTGGATATGAATAATGATTTATTGGAGCACTATGATGTTGAGAAGGAATCATATCTGGAGTGTTTGATTTTTATGTAAAGTGATTCGTTAATGTCTTGATGTAGTGGATGCTATGACCGGGGGAAAGGGTGAAACAATTCCAGAATAGAGATGGCGATGGGCTAAAGGATGAATAAGCAAGAAGGAAAGAAGTAATGATCCAGGAAATCTCATACTAGGAGATGGATATAATGGGTGGTAGTGTTTAAGTGGTGAAAGGAATTATGCATACAGATAACTCAGTAGGCAACATTTTCCAATGCTTAAAATTATGCAATTAGGCTTTATGGCTTTTTATATCCTTAAGAACAGGCTTAAGCCTCATGACGTAGCTTTTAAATTAGCAAATTTCATGAAGTAATAAGTATTGCAGTATGTTCAAAGCATGTAGTAAGAAGTAAAATATTAGTACATTAAAAAGTAACATATTGATATCTTAACATGGTATAAAGAAACATACTGTACAAGCAAGAAGCAACATATTAACTTCTAAATATCAAATCATAAAATAAGATAGGTTATTCAAAGATCAAAATAAGACATGATAACATAACAATTAAAATATGTTGTATATTATATAGTTAATTTATATATCTCGCTCACTCACTATTTTTCATCAAAGTAAGAACTTAACAAGCCATAAATGTAAGAATTTTTAAATTTAGAAGTCCCCTTTACTCTCATCAATTAATGTGCCTTCATTAGAATTGTCAACATAATAATTTATTTTCTCCTTCGTTTCAGCCTCATCTGTATCAATGTCCTCTTATTTCTGCTCATCATCGATCCCAATCAGCTTTATCTTATCTAATCAATATTATTTAGATTTTAAATCAATGATTTCGTTGATGGTTATAACTTCAATTATATTCTTATTTGTGTATTATTCAGGTAAGGAGTATTTTATTAGGGTTATTTTATTTATATTCATGATAAAGAAACACTAAAGCTAGTTGTGCACGCCACACAAAATTGAAGCTTCATGCACACCTAAGATTATGCCAGGTGTAAGCCTCTTTGAAAAAAATTGAAGCATTCCTCAATGCCCTTCTTATATTATGCAATTTTAAACCATACTTGTAAGTGCTCTACTCAATAAAAAAAAAAAAAATGAAAGCTCCTAAATCTGTGCTTTAGATTATGCTAGGCACAAGCCACATTCACTAATTTTTATCTTCTGCATTTGCGAATGTTTAGTGCCCGTTTGTGATTTTTGCCTGCATTTTAGTTAAATAGGAGCTGTTTCATGCGAGATGAAACTTTACTTGGGAGGTAGCCAATTGAACTTTAGGTTTTTTTGCTGCTGTCATTGAACAAGTGATTATCAGAATAATTCACAGTTGATCAATTTAATGGCGGCATGTTCCAGCACTGTCAACTTATTGAATAAATTACTATCTTGAAGTTAAAGGTTTTTCCGAGCTATTTGAAGGTTAATGTTTCTTTTTTAAGAGCCTTTAACTGAAGCACGTTGAAAGTTCTTGAATCCTGCTTGTAATTTGCAATATATATCTTATTTGTTTGTTGTGTTATGGAGAGCTGATTGAAATGAGTACGTAAGATTCTTCTAAGAATAATGCTGTAGAATATAGTTGTTTGATTTGGTTTGTGTTCCCTACTTGAAAGCTGAGTCTTGCTAATGTTTTGGTGGATGGCCTAATGTAAGCTTTGTCTACAATTTTGATCAGAAAAACAATTATGGTGCATTGATGGTTCTCCAGCAAATGCAAGATTTAAATATTAAGCCAGATTCTGAGACTTACAGTTACATGATATCCAACTGTGGAAGTGAAGAGGATATTGTCAAGGTTTATTTAATATGATTTGCTTCACTGTATTTTTTTTTGCTATTTCAATGTTTAATTGTTTCTATTCTTAGTTTTATGATTTCTTATGAATATATAATGAAAGCTGGTTTTCCTTAAGTATTCTCTCTACATGTTTGCATGAAATTTTCTATATAAACCATAAATGATCTTATTTCTTGCCTTCTGATGTTGTTTGTTTGTATTCTTGTAAATTGACTGTAATACCCCTCACTCCAATTAAGGATACAAGCTTTTTTTTTTTTAAATCATGTTGATTAAAATTTCTTTGGAAACTCACTCCAAATCTTATTCATTTGGATTTTTGTGCATTGAGAAATTCCAAGATGTCTCAGGTTTCATGATCCTATTTAAAATGACAAGCAGGGGAAGAAACTTTGCAGATGCAAGAAGTGATGCATGATCTAGGGGTTGAGGAAGCAATTTGTATATTTCTAATTCTTCATCAACATACCCTCTTAATGACTAGGGCTCTTCTGAATATATGTTTGATTGAAACAGAATAATGTAAATCTTTGTATTCTTTTTATTGTTTTATTTTTTATTAACTTTGTACATAATTCATAATCCAGTTAGCAGTTCTCTTTCGAGTCATATAGAACAAACCATATTTAAGTGATGGTTTTTTCATTGATGACGACGAAGTTAGAGATTGAGAAGTTTGATTTGCCAACTAATTTTGTCCTTTAGAGAAGTAGGAAACAACTCTTAAATGCTGTTATGTGGCATTTTCAGATGCCTGCTTTGATGAATGAAGGTGAAAATATTGATATGGATGGAAAATGTATTTATGAGAATTTGATGGATGTTTATGGAGAGATAATTCTATGAGGTATCACTTAAGCTGAAATTACTTTTCACGACCAAAACCATCTCCAGCAAACTCTATTACAAGCTAAATATATTAAGACGGTGATGTGTTTGTGGATGATGAAGATTAAGCTTGATAAGTATTTTGCTCTACCTCCCTTTTATAAGCACTTTCATGACATAATTGTTCAAATATCGACAGCTTAGAAGATGTGAATAATTCACTTTTGTCTGATGATGTAATTTGTAAGTTTTAAGGGTGTTGATGAAGAAAAGTAAAGTAAGTGATTGTTTGTGTGGGGTTAACCATTGGAGAAATGGTCTAGCTCTAGTGTGTTGGCAAGAACATAAGTTGCCATCAAGAAAGATTCATATAGTTGCATGGCTTTGTATAAGAGAGAGTGGCAAATAGGTGAAAACTACCTTTTGGTGAGGATAATAGTGCTAACTTAGCTGATGTAGATTATGGGATGTTCTTTTTATGCTTGAATATTACAGTGCAATGATCAATAAGTAATTGATTCAACATTCTTTTTAATAACTCATGGTCACACATGTATGTGCTGGGCCTTGAACTCAGGACCTTATGGTTAGTGACAAAACTTTCAATCACTGTGCTAATAGGTAGATTGCACTACTTGACTCAACATGTTCCCTTCATGCATGTCATGAAAAGTTCGGTTCTTCCTAGTTCGAAACCATGTAGGAGATGTATCTGGTGACTTCATTTTAGACTTGTTTAGTGTTATATCCTACTTTGTTTGATGATATTTTGGTGATCGAAGTATCGTCACCATCAATATAGGCTTTGGAACCTCGACTCATCAACTCCCCCTGTTGCTTACTTCCAGTTGTAGGTTTCTTGTTGATGATTTTATTGTTTGCTCTATGGATGATAAAAATTTTTATCTTAATACTTAATATGCTTGCTTGTATTTGCCTTGTCAATTGAACCTTTTGTCTTGTTAGCACCCTACCAAAGACTCTCATTACCTTGTCGAAGAGTTCTATATCTTCTTGGCCCTTGGGTCAACTTTTCGAAAGTCACACTTTGTTGACTTCACATCATTTAGCTTTATTGTAAATTTTGACTTGCTATCAGCTCGACTAGTCATCCTCTGCAGTGAATGCCAGTTGTTATTTTCTAGTAGCCAATTTTAAGTTGTCTTTTAAATTTCACAGAATTTCATTTGCCAACTTTCTTTGGGGTTTTTTCATCTTTGTGTCGTCTTTCTCATAGTTTAGATTCTCCACTTCCTAAACATTGATCTAATACCATAAATTTATATATTATGGCATTTTTTTAAATTATGCAGTGTATGGTGAACTCTAAATTAGCTATTTGTAACAATCTAAACTCTCATCCATCGAGATATTGTCCGCGTTGGTCTAATTGTCTCATAGTTTTGCCTCATTTGTGTAAATTCTCAAGAGGTCACCCATTCTAGAAATGCTTCCATAAGAGCACACTTAACTTTAGATTTTTTTATGAAATTTCAGCTGATATGAATCTTTTTTCTTCATTGTTTCCTATTGAGTGTCATATTTTCATTTAGTTCTAATAAATTAAGTTCTTTTTTTATACAACATGCTTAGGTTTTTTTTAGTCTATTTCTATTTTTCTTAACATATGTTGAATCTTAAACACTCTCTTAGTCAGATCATCAGATGCTTGATGTTTAATGTGACTAAACCATCTAAGACGACTCTTTCTAATTGTGTCTGCCAATGGAGCTACACAAACCCTTTCACGGATATATTCGTTTCACATTTTGTCTATAAGTGTAAAGCCACTCATCCACCTAAGCATTCTTATCTCAATAACAGTTAACATAATTTTATGCTTCTCTTTTATTGGCCAGCATTTCGTGCCATAAAGCATTGTAGGTTTCACCGCCATCATATAAAATTTTCTTCAAGACTAAGCATTACTTTTCTATCACACAATAGGCCCGAAGCATGCCTCCACTTTAACCATCCAACTTGAATACTACTAATAACATCTTCATCTATATCACCATTACTTTGGGCAATGAACCCGAGATATTTATAATGTTCACTTGTTTTAATGATTTGATCACCCATTGTTACAACTATGACGCTTGAACAACTACAACTAAAATTACATTCCATGTATTCAATTTTAGATTTACTCAAACGTTTAAAGTAGACTCCCATAACTCATGCTTTTTTGGAGCCATTTCTCTAGTTTTATCCACAAGAATAATATCATCAGCGAAGAGCATACATCAAGGTACGTCCTCTTGTAAATGCTCAATAAGAGCATTCATAACTAAAGCAAAACGATATGAGCTTAAAGTCTATCCCTGATGTAATCAAACTGAAATAGAAATGTACTTCATCATTTCTCCTCTTGTTCAAACACAAGTAACAACTCTAGTATATATATCTTTAATGACTTGAATATAAGTCATATCGACACCTTTCTTTTCTAGAACTGTCAAAAAAACTTCTCTTGGAACTTTATCGTAACCTTTTTCTAAATCAATAAAAATTTTATTTTGGTCCTTCTTATTTTCCCCATACTTCTCCATCAAACCTCTCAATAAATGTTCATTGATATTTAAGAGTTCAACTTCCTTCTACTTGAGGAGTTTCATAATTTTCCTCACTTAGGTAATTGATGTCCGCATCAGTATTATATACTTAAAATCGTCAAGCGTGTATATTTTTTTATCTTTAGACTGGTGTAATGCTCTGTTACCACTCTCTATAGCTCCAACTCTCATCTAATGTGATATGGTACATTTTGGCCTAATTGCCTCATGATTTTTCTCCATTAGTCTAACTTCCAAAGAGGTTGTCCATTTTAGGAATGCTCCTGCAAGAGCACGCTTAACTATGGAGTGTCTAATGAAATTCTAACCGTTGTACCAAAAGGCACCTTGATGTTTAAGAGTTTGCATTACTTAAAATACTTAATAAGTTACTCATTAGTTTTATAATAACATTTATATTGATTGATGATTTTGTTATTCATAGCATGAAAAAACTCAAATAATAATAATAATAAATAGGCTGTCATAGATATCAATGCAATAATAGAAATAATCAATGTTAAAGAATTATTTACTATTATAAAAAAATATAATTGAAATTTAGAAATTAAATATCATGATTAAAAATAATCGTTATGATATTAATATCATGAAAGTAATATAACATAAGTTTCTTTAAGAGCCATGATTCTTCTACATTTCATTAATTTTTTTTAATATATAGTTTAAAAATCTAAAATTTTATATTTTGGATTTATTATAAACTTTAATAAGTTAGTCAAAAAATGAAAGTTGCTTCTATTAAATATGCAAACATTCTTCAAATTATGTGTCACCATGCATGAATTTTCATAAAAAGTTCTTACACGTGGAATCCATGCAAAAACTTTCAATTTTCTTAAGAATTAAAGCATCCAAACAAATATACACACGTTCACTTCCATTGCCTCTTCTTCATTATCCAAAAATAAGTTTTTTTCATGAATGAATAATTATACACGCGTTCATCTCCGCTGCACCTTGTCCATCATCACAATTTTGTTTCCTGTATGAACAATTGTATACTTTTTCATCTCCATTGTCACTTCTCCATTCTCCAATAACATGTGTATTTTGTGCATGAACTCTTTTTGCTTATAAATATGAGGGAAAGTATGACTTATTTCATTGTAAGAAAAAATTTGTCAAGTGATGAAGAGAGAGAGGGGGGGGGGGGGGGGGCGATACCAGAGTTAATCTAAACAAAAATAGAAATTGAAATATTATTGTTGAATTCAATTAAGGTTATAACGAAAATATTTTAAATAGAAAATAAATGATAATAAATTTAAAATGACATAAGCAAACACCCCTAAAGTGTATTCCATGGTGGTGGTCGGCTAGGTGGATCAAGATAGTTGGCGGTGGTGGCTGCAGCAAAGGAATGCTGGTGACAACAAGGGGGAAGTGTAGAAATGCAGGGACAATTAGAATGGAGGTTGTCCTGGGTGATGATAGTGAGGAGTGGGGGTGAATAGCACTGAGACATTAGGGAATGCGAAATGGAATTGTGGAAGAGGTGCGGTTTGGGTGGCCGCAATACTGGAATTCCTGACTATCATGGGCGGCAACAGCATAGTGGAAAGGTTGGGACAACAGAGAAGAGGTGCGGTT